CCGATCTCATAGTTATCCTGGAACTCCCGTATAATATGCGGGAGTTCAAGCATACTTATGCTGGAACTCCCGTATAATATGCGGGCGTATTTTCCGGATTTTGAACAGTGTTTTCGCTCAGATTTATCTTTACATGAAAAGTGGCTAAATTTCGATTACTTTTGAAACTGGGCTATTTTTGAATGACCAGTTGTAAATCTGGCTATTTTTAAATTTTTCCCAGTAAATCAACACCTTCATTACACTGGGTAAGAGGTATCCCATACAAACCTTTGGGTTTTAAGTAGCGTAAACTATAAAGTTGACCGATTGGTCCAAGCTAATTATATTTGCTAGCCTAACGGTATATAAAATATATATATTATATGTACATTAGGGGTGTACAAACCGAATCGAAATACCGCACCAAACCAAAAAGTCAAACCAAACCGATTAAAAAACCCGACTAGGTTTGGTTTGATTTGGTTTGGTATTGAGTAAAAAAAATCAAACCAAACCGACATATAAATATATAATTTTTATATATACTTTTAAGATTTTATATAGAATTTTCTTTAAAAAATGTCTAGAAATATTTGGGATTATCTTGCGGGATATAATATTTAATAGTATATGCTCCATATTTATTAACCGTAAATAATGGTTTGTATGTTCACTTTCTCATCAAGTGTTACTGAAATGCGTCAATCTCTTTGTTCTTCCATATTCATATCATTTGTTAAGATCTACTAAATTGAAATATCTTTTTCGAATGTGAAGTGAATTATTATTTAGGTATCATATTGATTTTTATGTTTAAATACTGAATTCAGTTAACCTTGAAAGTGTACATCAACGAAACATTATTGTCAGACGACTAAAAAAATAACTATTATGTGTTGTTAAGAAAATTCTCTCATAAGAATATTTTAATAGATAATATGTTTGTCAATTTTTTGTATTTTTACTAAACATATATTTACTTATAAAAAATTTAACAAATTAAAATTAAAATAATATTTAAGTAACCAAAAACCTGAAAAACCGACAAAACCGAACCAATCCAAACCGATATAGTTGGTTTGGTTTGATTTTGATAAAAACCGAACCAGCCCGGTCCATGTACACCCCTAATGTACATAATGCACATATAAACAAACAAAATATATATTTTGTCAGCTACTATACTATTTTTGAAAGCGACTCAAAATTATACATTTTTCTTTTAAAAGAGTATCCCAAATTAAGGGGTAACTTGAATCTCTACCCAATGTAATGTAAATTACCCAGTAACAAAACAAAGGCTAATCTAGTAGTTACAGTTTCGAGCAAAAAGTAAGGAGTACAACTAGTTAAACTCATAGATCTACCCTTTTAAAAAATTATATTTTATAGCTATCTTTTGATTTTTTATAGCCAAATATCTATTTATGGTCACCTCCTACCATTAAGCTATAAAATAAGCTTTGTATTATTTTTCTCTCTCCCCTCGAATTTCTAAATATCCCCTCAAAAGTGAAAGAAAGATAAATCTAAAAAGCAAGAAATTTTCATAAAGCGAAGAAAGATTTCCTCCATTTGAAAAGTGGTTGCCAATCGAGAAGTGGCTAGTCTGCTCGATTTCCTCCATTCTAATAATCAAAAGTGAAGAAAGATGAAGGAGATGAATAGCAAGAACGAAAAAGTGTTGAAACTCCATCTCAGTACAAGAAAGAAAGGTAATTCGATGCTTCCGAAACCAAGGGTCGACACATACTTCCAAAAGTCAATAATTGTAAGGATTAGTTACTGGATACTGATACTGCTTCAACGAGATGATATTAGGGTTATTCTTGAACAAAGACGACGGAGTTGGGGGCTGAGCAACTTGAATTTTCTGTTAATATTTTTCAATGTATCTCGCTGTATTTCCATGTATTTCATTGTATTCATTGTCGTTTTTTCCCATTGTATTTCAATGTATCTCGCTGTTTTCCATGTATTTCATTGTATTCATTATCTTTTTTTCATTGTATTTCAATATATCCCGTTGTATTCTATATATATCATTGTATTCACTGTATCGCTATATTCCATGAATGTATTCAAATATTTTTTTTAATTAATATAATTTATGTATTCATATGTATTATATAATTTCTCTGAAGATTGCTATGTTTTTGGGGTGTTTTTCGGTTGAGAATCTTTTTTATAACTGGAAATACAAAATTTGTGTGTTATAATTGAGTTTGTTGAGTTATATTAGGAGTCTATTATGTTAATTGATTCACTTTCCGTTTAAAAATAGTGTAATCCCCTATTCACGCCGTGAATACAGTCGAATACAATAATCTGTCCAGCTGTAATCCCATGTTTCACGCCATGAATACAGTCGAATACAATAATCTGTCCAGCTGTAATCCCACGTTTCACGCCATGAATACAGTCGAATACACTCGAATACAACAACTGAAATTAAGAGTTTTTGGAAATTTAAAGATGTTTGAATTTGATGGTATCGGGCCCGTATTTTGGTTCCGAAACCTGGTACAGGTCTTATATAATAATTAAGTTGAATCTTTGAAGTTTGGTAAGAATCGGAGTTCGTTTGGTATAAATCGGACCATTATTGGAGAAAAATGAAAATTTTGATGTTCTTGAGTAATTTTATGAATTTGAGGGTTAATTCATAGTTGTTAATGTTATTTTGATGATTTGATCGCACGAGCAAGTCCTTCTAATGTTTTTGGACTTGCGTGCATGTTTGGTTTGGAGCCCCGAGGGCTCGGGTGGGTTTTGGATAGGCCACAGAGTGGAATTGGACTTAGGAAAACTGCTGGTGTGATGTAGGTCTGCAGGCTTCGCAATATCGAAGCTTGGCTCGCAAATGCGAGCTCGCATTTGCGAAGAAATATCGCAATTGCGAAGATGGGTTGGGCAGGGAGACCTTCGCATTTGCGAAGCTCAATGTCGCAAATGCGACTTCAGCAGGGATCGCAATTTGCGAACAATGGTTCGCATTTGCGAAGAAAGCAGGGCAGGCCTACCTTCGCATTT